TGTCGCTAATGTCTGCATGCTATGTTTTCCTGTCTCATACAGCGCGATCGAGCGCCGAACGTGATCAAAATAAGCAGAAAAAAAGTATCGCGGACATAATTTATCATAACTCTGGTTTTATTTGGCCTATCAACACAATTTAAAAACTGGTATATAGGTTGAGGTCCTCACTTTTGAGATAAGTTGAAACGGAGAGTCAACGAGGCTCAGTCTTGCAGCTACATCCGGTTAAATATGTCATGTGACTTGAACGCACACACAGACACACACACACGCACACACACACACACACACACACACACACACACACACACACACACACACACACACTCAGAGTCTGGTTTTTAGCACCTGCAAAAACATGCTATTTACATATTTGACAAGAATGCAGAGGCTCCTTTTGCCCCTGAAAAAAATCAAATTTCAAACACAACTTGACTGGTCATTTCTCCAAAAGACAACCATGAAGCTCCATCCAAACCTGAAGCAGGCAGTTGGTGCATGTGTACAGTAACCTGAGGGGAGTGAGGTGAGTGCTTCTGAGGAGAACATGAGCAGTGAAGATTCACCTTGGAGCTAGAACAGAGACATGCACATGATTATACAGGGGCAGGGGCTCAAGTTTTTTCCAGTCGTTTATACAATATGGAAATTAATGTGAAATTAAAACACAAAGTATTAATAGAAAGGTAATGACTGTCCTGTGTAGGTGACAGTGATATCCAATAGGCTAGGCACTCACGAGGCTGGCTGTGGCAAGTGTAAGTGAAAGCAACACGCACTGGCAGGAAGAACAGCAAACGCCGATGAAGGAAAAGGGTCTTTGCAGTGATGGGCGTTACCAGAGAGGGCGATGGCCAGAGGACACAAATGGGACGGGAAGGCAGCACGTTGGGGGGGGGGGGCGCGACACGGCTCGGGCCCGCCAGTGCCCCAACGGGGTCCTAGTTCTTTCTTTCTTTCTTTCTTCTTTTTCCTCCCCTTTGAACTGGAAAATGGCCCACTTCCCACTGGCGAAAACTCATGAAATTTGGCAGGATGACCGGGCCTGGTGAAAAATTCGATATTCTGAAGTCGCCCAAACAATAAAATGCAAAATGGCTCCATAGCGCCCCCTAAGGTGGAAATTCACACTATTGACTGTCACGCCTGTACGCTTTGTCATATTGACACAAAAATTGACACACATATGTATCTCAATGAGATCTACAAAAAAGTCAGTGCGGCCGTATCTGTCAAAATTACGGTTAAAGGGTTATTTCGCATTTTTTGCCGATCCGCACACATTGGAATTTCGCTAACTCCTCCGAAGGCTTTCGTTCCACCGGCACCACATTTGCTCAGGCCAATCTACACCCCGTGGCCATTAAAAGTTATCAAAATCATGACGCTGCACCCCAAGGTTTAGGTTCTAGGGGGCGCCAAAGATAACACTAAAATCCACATATTTAAAAGTCTTATAACTTTTTATTTTTGTCCTCACTGGCCTCCAAGTTTTCTAGGATGATGCAATGTCCAGCCATCAACACATTTGTGAAGGAATTTTTACTCCCCAAAAGAGCGCCCCCCCATGGCAGGAGAAAAAAGTCCATTTTTTCTTGTCCCCTAAGGTGAAAATACACATTGTTGAGTGTCACGCCTATACGCTTTGTCAAAATGACACAAAAATTGACACACACATGTAACTCAATAAGATCTACAAAAAAGTCCATGCGCGCGTATCTGTCAAATGTACAGTTAAAGGGTTATTCCGCATTTTTGCCGATACGCACACATTGGAATTTCGCTAACTCCTCCGAAGGCTTTCGTTCCACCGGCACCACATTTGCTCAGGCCAATCTACACCCCATGGCCATTAAAAGTTATTCAAATCATGATGCTGCACCCCATGGTTTAGGTTCTAGGGGGCGCCAAAAATAACCCAAAAATCCACATTCTTAAATGTTTTATAACTTTTTATTTTTGTCCTCACTGGCCTCCAAGTTTTCTAGGATGATGCAATGTCCAGCCATCAACACATTTGTGAAGGAATTTTTACTCCCCAAAAGAGCGCCCCCCATGGTAGGAGAAAAAAGTCAATTTTTTCTTGTCCCCTTACATAAAAATACACATTGTTGAGTGTCACGCCTGAACGCTTTGTCATATTGACACAAAAATTGACAATCATGTGTATCTCAATTAGATCTACGAAAAAGTCAAAGAGCGCGTATCTGTATAATGTACGGTTAAAGGGGTATTTTGCATTTTTTGCCGATTCGCACACATTGGAATGTGGCTATCTCCTCCTAAGGCTTTCGTCCCACCGATACCAAATTTGCTCAGGGCAATCTACACCCCATGCCCATTCAAAGTTGTAAAAATCATGACGCTGCACCCCACGGTTTACGTTCTAGGGGGCGCCAAAGATGACCCAAAAATCCACATTCTTAAAAGTCATTTTGGCCACTGCAGGAGTACAGAGTACTGCAGTTCTAGGGGGCGCCAAAGATGACCCAAAAATCCACATTCTTAAAAGTCTTTTTGGCCACTGCAGGAGTACAGAGTACTGCAGGATACACACACATATACACACACGCCAACATACACACACACACACACACACACACACACACAGACACACACACACACTCAGAGTCTGTTTTTTAGCACCTGCAAAAACATGCTGTTTACATATTTGACAAGAATGCAGAGGCTTCCTTTTGCCCCTGAAAAAAATCAAATTTCAAACACAACTTGACTGTTCATTTCTCCAAAAGACAACCATGAAGCTCCATTTCAAACCTGAAGCAGATAGTTGGTGCATGTGTACAGTAACCTGAGGGGAGTGAGGTGACTATTTCTGAGGAGAACATGAGCAGTGAAGATTCACCTTGGAGCTAGAACAGGGACGTGCACATGATTATACAGGGGCAGGGGCTCAAGTTTTTTCCAGTCATTTATACAATATGGAAATTAATGTGAAATTAAACCACAAATATGTGTGATGAACTGTTTTTAAAACTTAAACTTCAAATAAAAATTGTAAACTTCAAAACATATGCAAATTTTTAACAAAGAACATAGTGATTTACCTCTATTTACATCAAAATGCAGGCAATGGCCCAGGCGTTCTTTGTAAAATTATTTACAAAACACTGTATAGTCTCACAAATGTCACTTTTTATTTATGCCACTACAAAAAAACATGATGTAAATGATGCATGATGTAAAACATGATGTAAAAAACTTGTGTAGATCCTCCTCTATGTCAGTCCATGTGTAATTTTTCCATAATTCTTTGTTTTTTGCAGCATTTTTGTTAGTGTAACTGCAGATTGTGCTGACAGTGTCTATGGCACAAAAAAAAAAAAAAATTAAAATGCCTCAACATGAACCCCTGGTGGTCTCTGAGGGTGAAACCTGCTAACTGCTGCAGCTCTGTCAGCTTCAGTCTCCCATGCAGAGCTCTGAGCGCATGTGTGGCTCTGCACCCTTAGCAGCGTTGCTAACTCCTCAGTAAGGAAAGCCTGCTTCATGTCAGAGTCTCTAAACTCCAGAAGAAGTCGATAAAAGTCCCTTTCTTTCTAAAAAAAAAGTCGTTAGGGGGTCTGAAAAGTCATTGAATCTAACAACAAAGTCGCTAGGTTTGCAACTACGTGTCCCAGACTGCATCCCTGCTGAGAGTCCCTCCCTCGCTTCTCATGTTGCAGGAAGAACGTAAGCGCCCGCCCCTTGTCAATCAGTCACCATATAATTTTGGATTGGTTGTTGTGGTGAAGTTTTCCACCAATAGGAGAGATGTTGTGGTGTGTTTTTTTTTTTTTTGGCAAGCCTTTTCCGCCTGTAAGACCTGTCGCTAATGTCTGCATGCTATGTTTTCCTGTCTCATACAGCGCGATCGAGCGCCGAACGTGATCAAAATAAGCAGAAAAAAAGTATCGCGGACATAATTTATCATAACTCTGGTTTTATTTGGCCTATCAACACAATTTAAAAACTGGTATATAGGTTGAGGTCCTCACTTTTGAGATAAGTTGAAACGGAGAGTCAACGAGGCTCAGTCTTGCAGCTACATCCGGTTAAATATGTCATGTGACTTGAACGCACACACAGACACACACACACGCACACACACACACACACACACACACACACACACACACACACACACACACACTCAGAGTCTGGTTTTTAGCACCTGCAAAAACATGCTATTTACATATTTGACAAGAATGCAGAGGCTCCTTTTGCCCCTGAAAAAAATCAAATTTCAAACACAACTTGACTGGTCATTTCTCCAAAAGACAACCATGAAGCTCCATCCAAACCTGAAGCAGGCAGTTGGTGCATGTGTACAGTAACCTGAGGGGAGTGAGGTGAGTGCTTCTGAGGAGAACATGAGCAGTGAAGATTCACCTTGGAGCTAGAACAGAGACATGCACATGATTATACAGGGGCAGGGGCTCAAGTTTTTTCCAGTCGTTTATACAATATGGAAATTAATGTGAAATTAAAACACAAAGTATTAATAGAAAGGTAATGACTGTCCTGTGTAGGTGACAGTGATATCCAATAGGCTAGGCACTCACGAGGCTGGCTGTGGCAAGTGTAAGTGAAAGCAACACGCACTGGCAGGAAGAACAGCAAACGCCGATGAAGGAAAAGGGTCTTTGCAGTGATGGGCGTTACCAGAGAGGGCGATGGCCAGAGGACACAAATGGGACGGGGAGGCAGCATGTTGGGGGGGGGGGGTGACACGGCTCGGGCCCGCCAGTGCCCCAACGGGGTCCTAGTTATTTTTCCTCCGCTTTAAACTGGAAAATGGCCCACTTCCCACTGGCGAAAACTCAGGAAATTTGGCAGGACGACCGGGCCTGGTGAAAAATTCGATATTCTGAAGTCGCCCAAACAATAAAATGCAAAATGGCTCCATAGCGCCCCCTAAGGTGAAAATTCACATGACGGCTGTACGCTTTGTCATATTGACACAAAAATTGACACACACATGTATCTCAATAAGATCTACAAAAAAGTCAGTGCGGGCGTATCTGTCAAATGTACGGTTAATGGGTTATTTTGCATTTTTTGCAGATCTGCACACATTGGAATTTCGCTAACTCCTCCGAAGGCTTTCGTTCGACCGGCACCACATTTGCGCAGGCCAATCTACCCCCCATGGCCATTAAAAGTTGTACAAATCATGACGCTGCACCCCACGGTTTACGTTCTAGGGGGCGCCAAAGATAACCCAAAATCCACATTCTTAAAAGTCTTATAACTTTTTATTTTTGTCCTCACTGCCCTCCAAGTTTTCTAGGATGATGCAATGTCCAGCCATCAACACATTTGTGAAGGAATTTTTACTCCCCAAAAGAGCGCCCCCCATGGCAGGAGAAAAAAGTCCTTTTTTTCTTGTCCCCTTACATGAAAATACACATTGTTGAGTGTCACGCCTGAACGCTTTGTCATATTGACACAAAAATTGACAATCATGTGTATCTCAATTAGATCTACGAAAAAGTCAAAAAGCGCGTATCTGTATAATGTACGGTTAAAGGGCTATTTCGCATTTTTTGCCGATTCGCACACATTGGAATGTGGCTATCTCCTCCTAAGACTTTCGTCCCACCGATACCAAATTTGCTCAGGGCAATCTACACCCCATGCCCATTCAAAGTTGTAAAAATCATGATGCTGCACCCCACGGTTTACGTTCTAGGGGGCGCCAAAGATGACCCAAAAATCCACATTCTTAAAAGTCATTTTGGCCACTGCAGGAGTACAGAGTACTGCAGTTCTAGGGGGCGCCAAAGATGACCCAAAAATCCACATTCTTAAAAGTCTTTTTGGCCACTGCAGGAGTACAGAGTACTGCAGGATACACACACATACACACACACACACACACACACACACACACACACTCAGAGTCTGTTTTTTAGCACCTGCAAAAACATGCTGTTTACATATTTGACAAGAATGCAGAGGCTTCCTTTTGCCCCTGAAAAAAATTAGATTTCAAACACAACTTGACTGTTAATTTCTCCAAAAGACAACCAGGAAGCTCCATCCAAACCTGAAGCAGATAGTTGGTGCATGTGTACAGTAACCTGAGGGGAGTGAGGTGACTATTTCTGAGGAGAACATGAGAAGTGAAGATTCACCTTGGAGCTAGAACAGGGACGTGCACATGATTATACAGGGGCAGGGGCTCAAGTTTTTTCCAGTCATTTATACAATATGGAAATTAATGTGAAATTAAACCACAAATATGTGTGATGAACTGTTTTTAAAACTTAAACTTCAAATAAAAATTGTAAACTTCAAAACATATGCAAATTTTTAACAAAGAACATAGTAATTTACCTCTATTTACATCAAAATGCAGGCAACGGCCCAGGCGTTCTTTGTAAAATTATTTACAAAACACTGTATAGTCTCACAAATGTCACTTTTTATTTATGCCACTACAAAAAAACATGATGTAAATGATGCATGATGTAAAACATGATGTAAAAAACTTGTGTAGATCCTCCTCTATGTCAGTCCATGTGTAATTTTTCCATAATTCTTTGTTTTTTGCAGCATTTTTGTTAGTGTAACTGCAGATTGTGCTGACAGTCTATGGCAAAAAAAACAAAAACTGAAAATGCCTCAACATGAACCCCTGGTGGTCTCTGAGGGTGAAACCTGCTAACTGCTGCAGCTCTGTCAGCTTCAGTCTCCCATGCAGAGCTCGGAGCGCATGTGTGGCTCTGCACCCTTAGCAGCGTTGCTAACTCCTCAGTAAGGAAAGCCTGCTTCATGTCAGAGTCTCTAAACTCCAGAAGAAGTCGATAAAAGTCCCTTTCTTTCAAAAAAAAGTCGTTAGGGGGTCTGAAAAGTAATTGAATCTAACAACAAAGTCGCTAGGTTTGCAACTACGTGTCCCAGACTGCATCCCTGCTGAGAGTCCCTCCCTCCCTTCTCATGTTGCAGGAAGAACGTAAGCGCCCGCCCCTTGTCAATCAGTCACCATATAATTTTGGATTGGTTGTTGTGGTGAAGTTTTCCACCAATAGGAGAGATGTTGTGGTGTGTTTTTTTTTCTTTTGGCAAGCCTTTTCCGCCTGTAAGACCTGTCGCTAATGTGTGCATGCTATGTTTTCCTGTCTCATACAGCGCGATCGAGCGCCGAACGTGATCAAAATAAGCAGAAAAAAAGTATCGCGGACATAATTTATCATAACTCTGGTTTTATTTGGCCTATCAACACAATTTAAAAACTGGTATATAGGTTGAGGTCCTCACTTTTGAGATAAGTTGAAACGGAGAGTTAACGAGGCTCCGTATTGCAGCTACATCCGGTTAAATATGTCATGTGACTTGAACGCTGGGGAGCGTCAATCGAATCGAATCAAACCTAACTCTCAGATGAATCTTCAAAATTCACCTCAGAAATATGCTTATTATTCTTCTCAGAGTACTGCAGGATACACACACACACACACACACACACACAGACATACACACACACACGCACACACACACACACACACACACACACACACACACACACACACACTCAGAGTCTGTTTTTTAGCACCTGCAAAAACATGCTATTTACATATTTGACAAGAATGCAGAGGCTTCCTTTTGCCCCTGAAAAAAATCAAATTTCAAACACAACTTGACTGCTCATTTCTCCAAAAGACAACCATGAAGCTCCATCCAAACCTGAAGCAGGCAGTTGGTGCATGTGTACAGTAACCTGAGGGGAGTGAGGTGACTGCTTCTGAGGAGAACATGAGCCGTGAAGATTCACCTTGGAGCTAGAACAGGGACGTGCACATGATAATACAGGGGCAGGGGCTCAAGTTTTTTCCAGTTGTTTATACAATATGGAAATTAATGTGAAATTAAAAACAAAGTATTAATAGAAAGGTAATGACTGTCCTGTGTAGGTGACAGTGATATCCAATAGGCTAGGCACTCACGAGGCTGGCTGTGGCAAGTGTAAGTGAAAGCAACACGCACTGGCAGGAAGAACAGCAAACGCCGATGAAGGAAAAGGGTCTTTGCAGTGATGGGCGTTACCAGAGAGGGCGATGGCCAGAGGACACGAATGGGACGGGGAGGCAGCGCGTTGGGGGGGGGGGGGGGGGGTGCGACACGGCGCGGGCCCGCCAGTGCCCCAACGGGGCCCTAGTTGTTTCTTTCTTTCTTCTTTTTCCTCCCCTTTGAACTGGAAAATGGCCCACTTCCCACTGGCGAAAACTCATGAAATTTGGCAGGACGACCGGGCCTGGTGAAAAATTCGATATTCTGAGGTCGCCCAAACAATAAAATGCAAAATGGCTCCATAGCACCCCCTAAGGTGGAAATTCACACTATTGACTGTCACGCCTGTACGCTTTGTCATATTGACACAAAAATTGACACACATATGTATCTCAATAAGATCTACAAAAAAGTCAGTGCGGGCGTATCTGTCAAATGTACGGTTAAAGGGTTATTGCGCATTTTTTGCCGATCCGCACACATTGGAATTTCGCTAACTCCTCCGAAGGCTTTCGTTCCACCGGCACCACATTTGCGTTAGGGGGTCTGAAAAGTCATTGAATCTAACAACAAAGTCGCTAGGTTTGCAACTACGTGTCCCAGACTGCATCCCTGCTGAGAGTCCCTCCCTCGCTTCTCATGTTGCAGGAAGAACGTAAGCGCCCGCCCCTTGTCAATCAGTCACCATATAATTTTGGATTGGTTGTTGTGGTGAAGTTTTCCACCAATAGGAGAGATGTTGTGGTGTGTTTTTTTTTTCTTTTGGCAAGCCTTTTCCGCCTGTAAGAGCTGTCGCTAATGTCTGCATGCTATGTTTTCCTGTCTCATACAGCGCGATCGAGCGCCGAACGTGATCAAAATAAGCAGAAAAAAAGTATCGCGGACATAATTTATCATAACTCTGGTTTTATTTGGCCTATCATCACAATTTAAAAACTGGTATATAGGTTGAGGTCCTCACTTTTGAGATAAGTTGAAACGGAGAGTCAACGAGGCTCCGTCTTGCAGCTACATCCGGTTAAATATGTCATGTGACTTGAACGCACACACAGACACACACACACGCACACACACACACACACTCAGAGTCTGGTTTTTAGCACCTGCAAAAACATGCTATTTACATATTTGACAAGAATGCAGAGGCTCCTTTTGCCCCTGAAAAAAATCAAATTTCAAACACAACTTGACTGGTCATTTCTCCAAAAGACAACCATGAAGCTCCATCCAAACCTGAAGCAGGCAGTTGGTGCATGTGTACAGTAACCTGAGGGGAGTGAGGTGAGTGCTTCTGAGGAGAACATGAGCAGTGAAGATTCACCTTGGAGCTAGAACAGAGACATGCACATGATTATACAGGGGCAGGGGCTCAAGTTTTTTCCAGTCGTTTATACAATATGGAAATTAATGTGAAATTAAAACACAAAGTATTAATAGAAAGGTAATGACTGTCCTGTGTAGGTGACAGTGATATCCAATAGGCTAGGCACTCACGAGGCTGGCTGTGGCAAGTGTAAGTGAAAGCAACACGCACTGGCAAGAAGAACAGCAAACGCCAATGAAGGAAAAGGGTCTTTGCAGTGATGGGCGTTACCAGAGAGGGCGATGGCCAGAGGACACAAATGGGACGGGGAGGCAGCACGTTGGGGGGGGGACGCGACACGGCTCGGGCCCGCCAGTGCCCCAACGGGGTCCTAGTTTCTTTTTCCTCCCCTTTGAACTGGAAAATGGCCCACTTCCCACTGGCGAAAACTCATGAAATTTGGCAGGACGACCGGGCCTGGTGAAAAATTCGATATTCTGAAGTCGCCCAAACAATAAAATGCAAAATGGCTCCATAGCGCCCCCTAAGGTGGAAATTCACATGACTGCTGTACGCTTTGTCATATTGACACAAAAATTGACACACACATGTATCTCAATAAGATCTACAAAAAAGTCAGTGCGGGCGTATCTGTCAAATGTACGGTTAATGGGTTATTTTGCATTTTTTGCAGATCTGCACACATTGGAATTTCGCTAACTCCTCCGAAGGCTTTCGTTCCACCGGCACCACATTTGCTCAGGCCAATCTACACCCCATGGCCATTAAAAGTTATTCAAATCATGACGCTGCACCCCACGGTTTACGTTCTAGGGAGCACCAAAAATAACCCTAAAATCCACATATTTAAAAGTCTTATAACTTTTTATTTTTGTCCTCACTGGCCTCCAAGTTTTCTAGGATGATGCAATGTCCAGCCATCAACACATTTGTGAAGGAATTTTTACTCCCCAAATGAGCGCCCCCCCATGGCAGGAGAAAAAAGTCAATTTTTTCTTGTCCCCTAAGGTGAAAATACACATTGTTGAGTGTCACGCCTTTACGCTTTGGCAAAATGACACGAAAATTGACACACACATGTATCTCAATAAGATCTACGAAAAAGTCAATGCGCACGTATCTGTCAAATGTACGGTTAAAGGATTATTCCGCATTTTTTGCTGATCCGCACACATTGGAATGTGGCTAACTCCTCCTAAGGCTTTCGTTCCACCGGCACCACATTTGCTTAGGCCAATCTACACCCCATGGCCATTAAAAGTTATTCAAATCATGACGCTGCACCCCACGGTTTACGTTCTAGGGGGCGCCAAAGATGACCCAAATATCCACATTTTTTGAAGTCATAACTTTTTATTTTTGTCCTGACTGGCCTTTTTTCCCACTGACACCAAATTTGCTCAGGCCAATCTACACCCCATGGCCATTCAAAGTTGTACAAATCATGACGCTGCACCCCACGGACAACCATGAAGCTCCATCCAAACCTGAAGCAGGCAGTTGGTGCATGTGTACAGTACCCTGAGGGGAGTGAGGTGACTGCTTCTGAGGAGAACATGAGCAGTGAAGATTCACCTTGGAGCTAGAACAGAGACGTGCACATGATTATACAGGGGCAGGGGCTCAAGTTTTTTCCAGTCGTTTATACAATATGGAAATTAATGTGAAATTAAAAAACAAAGTATTAATAGAAAGGTAATGACTGTCCTGTGTAGGTGACAGTGATATCCAATAGGCTAGGCACTCACGAGGCTGGCTGTGGCAAGTGTAAGTGAAAGCAACACACACTGGCAGGAAGAACAGCAAACGCAGATGAAGGAAACGGGTCTTTGCAGTGATGGGCGTTACCAGAGAGGTCGATGGCCAGAGGACGCGAATGGGACGGGGAGGCAGCGCGTTGGGGGGGGGCGGCGCGACACGGCTCGGGCCCGCCAGTGCCCCAACGGGGCCCTAGTTGGCTTTTGTGATAGATGGCAGCTCACCGGTCCTCTGCCTGCTATTATACAGACCACCCAAACCAAACATTGATTTTATCAGTGAGTTTTCTGATCTCCTTTCCAACATTGCCCCAAAGTATGACAATATTCTTATTCTTGGAGATTTCACCATCCATATATGTTGTCCCACTGAAGCCATGACTCGTGATTTTATAAACTTACTCGAAACTTTTGGTCTCCACCAGTCTGTGAATGGCCCAACCCATGTTAAAGGCCATACATTAGATTTAGTTCTCTCCTCAGGTATCTCTATCTCAAACCCAGTAATAGAAGATTTTCATGTATCTGATCACAAAGCAATCATTTTTTATCTCAATTTGCCTTATCTTTCTCCGGTTCGCCCTGCTCTTCTCCGCTCCTGCACCATCAATTCATCCACTGCCACTAAGTTTGCAGAAGCCTACAGAGAGGCTGCCAACATTCTTTATTCATTCATACGGATCCCCATTAGCTGCCACCAGAGTAGCAGCTACTCTTCCTGGGGTCCACAACATTAACAGTATCGAGGGTGCACCATCTCATGTGAGCACAGAGGAAATTGTCTCTCTTTTCACCAGTACTGTTTCGGCCACCCTTGACTCTGTTGCACCTCTAACAATTGAAAAACGTAAGCCTCTGGCCTCACCATGGCTTAATAAAAATACAAGAGAAATTAGGACAACGTGCAGAAGGGCAGAGCGAAGGTGGAAGCGGGACACATTGCAGCTCACATTCCAAATCCTGAAGGTTCTCTTGGATAAATATCAGCTGGCCGCTCAAAAATGCCAGAGCTCAATATTTTTCTGATATCATTGAAAAAAACTGTCATAATCCCAGGGTACTTCTTAGTGTGTTGAACTCTGTCATTTCCTCCACTCTCACCTCCTGCCTTGAAGCATCTGACTCTAAATGTGAGGAGTTCCCCAAATTCTTTAGAGACAAAGTGATTAACATCAGAGCTACTATTAATCCATCTGTAAATAGCCTATCCATCTCCTCTGAAAATACTGCAGTTCTCAATTCTAGTAACTCCATCACTTTATCAGAACTTTATCATGTTATCTGTTCTATGAAAACCTCCACCTGCTATCTCTACACTATTCCAATTATACTCTTCAAAGAAGTCATTGGCACCATTAGCCCTAGTGTTCGCTCAATTATCAATAGCTCCCTGGAAACCAGTCATGTTCCCTAATCTTTCAAACATGCAGTTATCCAGCCACTTTAAAAAAAACAGAATCTAGATCCTTCAGTTCTCAACAATTACAGACCTATCCAGACATATCCAAACTACCCTTTCTTTCCAAAATACTTGAAAAAGTTGTTTTTAACCAACTGTGGTCCCACCCGGCTGAAAACTGCATTTTTGAAAAGTTCCAGTCTGATTTCAGAGCTCTTCACAGTACTGAATTTGCATTACTGAGAATAACTAATGACCTCCTTGTAGCTGCTTACTCAAGTAAGCGCACCATCCACCTGCTCCTCGATCTAACTGCAGCCTTTGACACAGTAGATCACTCAATTCTCGTTCACAGATTAAACCAATGGGCAGGAGTCTCTGGTTGTGCCTTAAACTGGTTTTCCTCATATTTATCCAAGAGATCATTCAGTGTCTCCATTAGAAACTCCTCTTCTTCCTCAGCCCGCATTTCCCATGGGGTCCCCCAAGGTTCCATACTTGGTCCAATTCTCTTCTCCATCTATATGCTTCTCCTTGGTCACATTATTAAAAAGCACAACATATCTTTTCACTGTTATGCAGATGACACACAGATCTACCTCCCCCTTCAGCCTAATAACTACAACAAACAACGTGACCTTAATTACTGTCTTCATGACATCAAATCCTGGATGGCTGCAAACTTTCTCCAGCTCAATGAAAACAAAACTGAAGTCCAGCTTGACCTGGACATGTCTCTGTGTCCTCTCCCCGTCCTGCTGCAGCTGCTGCTGTGGCGGCTGAACAGATGATTTGTTTCAGTGATCAGGGGCCTCATGTATCAACGCTGGCGGCGCCAGAAAACCTTGCGTTCGCCAAGATCGGCGCACACGTCCAGATTTATCATTGCGACACGAGCGTCGGTTCCAGCGCAAATCCACGCAAAGTGAGGAGGTGGTGTAGCAGTTGGCGTTGAGCCGATACTTGCAGTGACGGCACTTTGGCGACGCTGTGTGGCGGTGTTTGGTGACTCACTATGTGACAAGCGTTCACACATCGCAGTGGACCTGCACCACATCCCCGTGGCCGAGCAGCACGTCGCCCCACATTACGAACCAGCAGCAGACGGAGGGATGCGAGCTGATCCATGCCAGGCCACCGTCCGCACGCGGCAGAATCTCATCACCACAATGTGAATGGGTAAGAAGTGAATACACAGTTCAATGAGCCAAATTAATTTATTTTCTCCACCAGACGCTTGAGGACATTTACGAGCCGGTCCAGCCGCTCGTTGATCCTGGCGATCCCCCTGATGATTTCTTCCTGCGATTGCAGGACCGCCTCCGTGAGGACCCTTCCACTGGGTCCGGGTGGTCCAGCGGAAGCGCCGCGGCTGGTGGACACTCCACCGCTTGTCGGCGCGCTGGTGCTGGGGCCGGGGCCGGGGTGGCCCGAATGCTGCTGGTCCTGGCTGACGACTCCGAGCCGGCGGACGCTCTGCCGCGGGCCGGGGTTCCGCAAGCCAGCGACACGGCCGACACATTGATTTCTGTGACACAATAAAAATATTGGTTCATTTCAATTCCTGCTTCTGTGTATCTGTTGCGTTTACATCTATGGCAAAGCATGTGGACATTTTTGTGACACGCCACTTACCCTCCGGCAGGCTGCCTGAGTCGCCGTGGGTAGCGACGACAATCCCCCCCACAGAGGCGCCCCCCATAATCGCCACCACCCACTGCTCAAACGGCGTGAGGGTCTCCTCCACCGGACCACCACCTGTCTGGCCAGTACTACTCCGGAGGGCAGCTGTACGCCGCTTGACCTCCACCTTGAGGTCCGACCACTTTTTTTTAATCTCCGCGGGGGTGCGTGTCTCGGAACCCACCGGGTTCACCCTCTCGCAAACTTTCTCCAACTCCAAGCGTTTTCGTTTTGCTCTGACGCCACTGGACAGGCTGCCAAACAAAACACGCTGTCGCTCCTCCACCTCCGCTACCAGCACCTCCACCTCGCATGCCGTAAATTTCGTTTTTCTTGTCATTTTGTCTGCGTGCGAGGACAGGGAGACCCTATTTAAATAAATCTGCGGCTGTGTTAAATCCACTCCACGCCCTCTCTCCTCCCTCGCTACGACTTAAGCCGCTGGGCGGGGGGGGGGGGGGGGGGGGCCTCACCAAAATACCAAATTGTGCTTGGGAACGCCTTGTCGGCACAGCAGACCTGGCTTACGCCGCACCTGCGGCACGTCTCCGGCATGTCTCCGGCGAGGCATGAAAATAGAGCCCTCAGTGTTATGGGGACAGGGCTTTCTCTATCGCTGCCCCAAAACTGTGGAATTCTCTTCCTCTCTCCATCAGATTCCCCCCCACCATTGACATCTTTAAGACTCAACTTAAAACCCACTTTTACTCCCCAGCGTTTAACTGTCCCTAACTTTTATAGCTCAACCATTTCCCATGTAGGCTCTGTGAGCTCTGTAGGTCAGTAGATCTGTGTTGTCATTATTATTGTTATTATTATTGCTGCTATTGTTACTGTTATAATTATTGTTATTTATTATTACTATTATGAATGATGATGATAGTGTTGGTATTGAAAATATATTTTTATTGCTATTGTTATTATTATTACTAACACTCATTCTGCTCTTCTTCATCGTCTGTTTGTTCTCCTATTTTGTTTTGTTTTTCCTCTGTGTTGCTGTGAAGCACTTTGGATCAACTCTGTTGTGTGTAAAATGCTATAAAAATAAAGTTGAGTTGAGTTAAGTTGAGCCATTGCCTCGTCCATGGTTAAACCAACAACTAATAAAATACCATTGTGAACATTATGAACCCCACCACCACCCGTCCTTGTTGGAGAACTGGGAGCTGTTCCCCTCCAGTTGGCATCCCTCCTGCTCCACCCCAAACAGGGGACCCCCTGAAATGAAGTGGTTGTCTGCCGGCAGAAGAGGGCCCAGAGCAGGATTCACGGCAGGGCCCCTTCTCCCCCCAGCCAGCAGCTCTCCAATAAGTATGTGGCTCTGTCTGTGAGCAACGAGCCGGCAGCTTGGGACCCACACCAGGACACACCAACTGTTGACACACACAGACACAGACACCATGCCCCCGTTGACGGACATCACAGCCTTCTCTCCACTCCTACTGGACACCGAGCGGACGCTCCCACAACCCTGGTCATCGGGCACTCAATTGTGAGGCATGTCTGCATGAGAGGGGCATTCACCCTGATGTTTCCCGGAGCCACCATTACGGACATAACAGGGAAAATACCTGATATCCTGAGCCCGCATCTGCAGGTAAAAAGGATTATCATCAATGCAGGTGCAAATGATATCGACAGGCAACAAGCAGACAACAAGCAAGACTTCATTCACGTTTTTAACTCGGCTTCATATTCCAAGGTGACTGTTTTTATCTCAGGATGTCAAGCATGGGATCAACACATATCATCATTTCATTTACAAAATAAAACACCATACACTGACTCTCAACAGGCCATATAGATGAGTGATGGATCCAGTGTTATCACTAAACAACCATGAGGTTTCTGTGGTCCATTTAAACCACAAGGACTTTTAGCTGCTAACTTTGTTTGAAGGAACAATGAGCAGGAAGTCACCCACAGAAAGGCGAAATAACATTTTGTGAGCATTTAGTCCTCTATACCAGCTGCTCCAAGCTGTCATGATTGGTTCTTGTTTATTTAGTTTTCTTGGCATTATGATTCCCTTGTATTTTCCCTCGTGTTTCTGTAACCTGTGACCCTGTTTTGTGAGTTTTCAGCTTGTCTTTGACCCTGTTTCCCTTGTGTTGTCCGTGTTTTATTCTTTTGATCAGTTTTTAGTGTTTTCGGTTTTATTTTGTAGTTCCTTGCCCTTGTGTCTCCGGTTTAGTTTGACTTCCTGTTTCATTTTGTACGTGTCTGCCCTACCCAAAGCCCTTGTGATTTTCCCGGTGTAAATTGTGTCTTTGGACTTTTTGTTTCTTGTACCTAGATTAGTCTTATTTTTCAATCGTTTTATTTAACTTAACTTAAATAATTTTAGTTCTCCCTTTGGTTTATGTTTGAATCTGTGATGCATGCTATGCTTAAATTACTCTTCCAGTTGACCTCAGTAAGGTAAACAAAGTCCAAGATGGCAGCATGTGTGTGTGAGCAGGTTCACTCCCTCTGCCATGTCAGTTTGTGACCCAATGACTCTTGACTATTAATCTCTTTGTAACTAATCAAATGGACTTATTACCTTGTGCGTGCAAATCTATGACTCAGTTTCATTTCAGCTGGCCAGCCTATTTTTCCTGGACTTTGCACCTGAGCACTTGCCCCCCTGGGATGATTTCTTCCTACTCACAGGCTATCTGAAATGGTTGGTCTGGATTCTGTTCTGACCGTCTACTGTGGTTCACTGGACTTTGCATTGTGATTCGTGGCAATCGCAGAGGTTGGTGATATGTGGCCAATCTCAAAGATCCAATTTCCAATTTCACTCTTGTCAGCCGGCCTGTAGGCTCATCCAGTCCCTGATAATAAACTTGAAAAAATTTAGATAAACTCCACAAATAATAATATAGTTGTGCAGCCTGAAACTTGGCTCCAAACAGACCACCTGTGAGAGTCAGACCATCAATCAGACCACCTGTGAGAGTCAGACCACGAATCAGACCACCTGTCCACCAAAAAATGTCCCTATCTGTAATCTTAGAAAGGTCATAACACAAAAACTGTTGGACAGGATAAAAACTCTCTCTCTCTCTCTCTCTCTCTCTCTCTTTCTCTCTCTCTCTCTCTCTCTCTCTCACACACACACACACACACACACACACACACACACACACACACACACACAGACACACACAGCTTATTGTGCTTATTGCTCTTCCTTATGACTTTCACACTCAGCTTGATGTTTCATGGTTCATTTGAAGATGTTCATGCAGGTCACAGGTTGCACACAGGTGTACACTTACTGATGTGACCGGTAGAAGGTAAGGTTGTGTAATTTTGGCAAACAGTAAAACCATTCCAGAGAGCAGGTCGTACTGGTTTGATCTGAACCATAGAGTTGAGCCAGAGTTTTTACAAGGTCTCTTTTAAACACTTGAGTTCTTATATTGAATAGACTAATGGCACAAACTTATTCAGCTAAAGTTGGTCCCTAACCCTGAAGCTACAACCCTAAACCTAACCCCTAAACCTAACCCTTGACCTAAGCCTAACCATAACTCTAACCCTAAACCTACAACCCTTACCCTAACCAATCTGTTTCCTTTAGTTTATGTTTTCAAACAGTTTATAGAGCTCTATCATGAATCATTAGTAGTCTGCTTGCAACTCCTTAACAATGTAATACCTGAATGTTCTCCTAAACAATCAAATTCAGATGCATACGTAGGGGAAAAATTATAATTCATCCTCTGGTTTCCCTGAATCAAGTGGGTTGGTTGGCACTTTGATTTGAAAATGGCATACAAATAAATACGTGCACACTTATGACTTCAGAAAAAAAAAAATATTTTTTTGATGGTTAAATGTTTGCAGGTTTAAACACTCATTCCAACTTTTGTGTGCACAAACTATGAAACCTTTTCTGTCGAATTTCTGAATTTCCACCTGAGCTGGAGGATCAAACTGATCTGTGACTCAGAGACAGGAATAAAGAAGAGCTCAGCTGGAGGACAGAGAGTGAGGAGGTCTAATTATCCGGAAAGTTTTTAAACTCCACAGATCCTCATAGTGGAATCGACCTCTGCCAAAGTCTATGGAAACAGTCAGACCTGACCTGCAGCAGAAACCCTTCCTCTCTTTCTTGCTTCTCCTATTATCACACATGTAAGGACTATGCAGACAGGATACAAACATGAGATGTTAGAGGTGATTTGGGGTGTGTTACATAGTCATACTGACAGGTAAAGGTGTTATGGAGTCAAACTGTCAGGCAAAGTTGCTATAGAGGGGCGGCAGTAGCTCAGGAGATAGAGCGGTCGTCCAATAACCGGAAGGTTGGCGGTTCGATTCCCCCCTATCCCAAGTCTGTCCGTTGTGTCCTTGGGCAAGACACTTAACCCACCTTGCTCCCAGTGTGTGTCCTCCACTGGTGTATGATTGTGAGTGTTGTGTGGTGGTGGTCGGAGAGGCCGTAGGCGCAAAATGGCAGCCACGTTTCCGTCAGTCTGCCCCAGGGCAGCTGTGACCACTGAGGTAGTTTACCACCACCAAAAAAGTGTGACTGTGTGAGCGAATGAATGATGTATCCAATGTAAAGCGCTTTGAGGGTCTCTGATAAAGCGCTATATGAAATCTGATGCATTATTATTATTAGAGTCAGACTCTAAGGTAAAGGTGCTATAGAGGAAGACTGACAGGTAACGGTGGTACAAAGTTAGACTGACAGGTAAAGGTGTTACAGAATCAAACTGTCAGGCAAAGGTGCTATCCAGTCATACTGTAAGATACAGGTGTTACAGTGTCAGACTGACAGGTAAAAAGGTGCTACAGAATTAAACTCTAAGGTCAAGGTTAGATAGAGTCAGTCTGACAGGTAATGGTGTTTCAGAGTAAAACAGATAAAAGTGTTTCAGAATTAAACTGCTGGGCAAACGTGCTATAGAGTCAGACTGTGAGGTAAAGGCGTTACATAGTCAGACTGACAGGTAAAGATGCTTTAGAGTCAGACTGTAAGGCAAAGATGTTATAGAGTCAAACTGTAATGTAAAGGTGTTATAAAGTCAGACTGTCAGGTAGAGGTGTTACAGAGTTAGACTGTGAGGTAAAGATGTTATGGAGTCAGACTGAAAGGTAATTGTTTTGCAAAGTCAGACTGACAGGTTAAGGTGTTATAAAGTCAAACTTAAAGGTCCAGTTGTTACAGAGTCAGACTGGCAGGTTAAGGTTTGACAGAGTCAAAATCTAAAGTAA